AAATTCTGTCTCTCAGAGTGGGAATGCACCTACAATGTGAATTTCAGACCCCTCCATGATTTCTAAGTGGGAGAACTTGCAAAATCGCAGGGTGTTCAAATACTTCTGTTCCTCACTGTATGACTGTTTCCATGACAAAGTGTAAAGCTTGCGTTGCGACATATTGTTAGGTTTGCCCGGCTGCACCTGCCTTTCTCACTCTCTCTCTCTCAGCCCCTGCTTACACCACCTAGCAGACCTGCTCCACATCCCGATTGTCACCAGCTGCACCTCATTGGTTCTATCCTTACTTATACCCCGCTCACCTATCACTCCCTTGCCAGTTTAATCTTGTTCTTAGGCCCGTTCGATCGTTGTTTTCTTGTCTTTGACCATTTGTCTCTCACCCATAGTTCACCTATGTCCTACCAGTACAATCTTTCACTCTCCGTCGCCATTTCTCCTTCTGCTGTTTTCCTCCACTGACGTCTTCTCCGGACCCTGGACCTACTCAGCCCTTCCAGTCTCCACTATTTCAGGTCGATGCGCAGTCTCCTTAACTCATCTGTACAACCCCTGCCTTCTTTCTCCATAGCCACCACCGTCTCTCCGTCGACCAGCTCAGGAGTGACCCCAGCGTCCGCAGCCCAGCCTACTCCCATCCATCTCACCACAAACTGGTTTCTCTGCTGCTGATCGACACCCGGTTACTCTCATCATTCTACGCTTGCTTGTTATCCTATGGACTTTTTCTCACTGCACTGTAAATAAATTTAGCACTGCTTGCACCGAAGTCAGCTACCTGGGTCTGCCTTTGGAGTCCCCAGACTGTCAGGATTGACAATAGGATTTCAGCCAGCATTGTTACAAGCACTGGCACCCCACAGGGATGTGTCCTCAGTCCCATCCTCTACACTCTGTTCACCCACGACTGTGTCGCCTCCCACAAAGACAACATCATCCTAAAGTTCGCGGACGACACCACAGTGATAGGTCACATCACTGGTGGGGACGAAGCAGCCTACAGGAGGGAGGTGGCCAGTCTGGTGTCATGGTGCAAGGACAATAATCTCAGCCTCAACATGGACAAGATGAAGGAAATGATAGTGGACATG